GAGCAGAGAAAGGGGGAGAGAGAATCCCAAGCAGACTCCACACTCAGCACAGAGCCTGACATGGGGCTTGGATGCTCAACCAACTGAGCCACCCAAGTGCCCTTATTTTCCAAAATTTTTAAATGGCCATGATGTCCTCTGTCTTCTTCTGGAGTAGTCAGTCCTTGCTGGGAAGCCATCTCTCAGATTTGCTTGGAATTAATGAGCTGAGGCTCTCTTGCTCAATTGTGTGATTCCACCCCAGCTTCCCCTAGACAGTTGGTTCATGAGCAATGTAATTTGCTTTTGATGTGGAAGGGACTCCTATAGTGTTCTTATTCATGAAGACAAACTGGTCAAAGAGAAAGACTTTCATAAAGAATGTTTTTCTCTGACATAATCCCTTGTAAAACAGAAAATTACTTTATATAAAAGTTCAATTAGGACCAAATACAGTATAAATGGCCTCTGTAACAATTAGACTTGAAATACAGAAGAGCTGAATATGACACTATTTTCTACTGACTTTCCTGGTTCCATGCCAAACATGTCTTGGCTGCAACAGAAGAGTGAGGAGGCTTTTATATCTTGGGGAGAAAAAGAACATAACCACAGTGGGGGCTCTAGAAGGGTGTAGTTGCAATCTGGCACTTTAGCAGAGATTCTGGAAAATGAATGAAGCTCTTTTATAATTATAACTCTGTATGTAGGATCTGGGAACTTTATAATAAATATAACCCTATAACCCTATATAAATGCAACCCTTGCCAATGTGACCTACTATTTATTTAGCAGCAACAGTGAACCATATGGTTTTATTCAGAGATGCAAGGTTGAAGAACAGATTTTATGTCCAGGAAAAAAAATCTATTTTGAAGGTAAAGAGGGAAAGACAAAGGTAAGCTCTTTTACTTAAACAGAAAGAAAAAAAACCCATCATAACTATTTCAAAACCTTTTCAACCCACTAAGCATGAATTACTAAAGAATAATAAAGGAAGAAAATTAGTAAGCTGCCTTATTAGTCCAAGAAGTCCAACAAGTTGTCAAACAAGAATTATAGAAATTATAACAGTAAAATCTTTATAGGTTACAGAACCCAAACAAATAAATAAAAATAAAAAACAAAAAGCTACTCTACAAATAAAAAGAGAGTTCATTTGAACTTTAAGAATCTTGTATGGCAGTTGCTTTTCTTGAAGGCCTGAAACAGTTTTGACCCCAGCTGCTACTTACTTTATCTAACAATAGACTGCTTCAAGACATATCACTTCTGGCCAAGCTATTCATTTCAACTTAAACTGCATATAGCTCAAGCCTCAGAAGATAACTTTATCACCTCCGAGCCGTATGCAGACTAAACACAACACTTGTGCCTGATTCTGAATGGTATCTTATATCCAAAAGTTCCCTTAATTATAGCTCTTCCTTCTCAAGCTGCTCTTTCAACTTGTCAGAAGCTGCCTAAAGTCACTAACATTGGATCTATGCAGAAAAAATATATTTTAGGAAAACATGTGCAACAAGGACTGACACATCTGTTGACGTTAAAACCAGAAGGCAGTGTGTTGCGGCCACATGAGAACAAGCTGTAAAATTTAGTAATTCACAACATTCACTTTAAAATGTTATGGCAATCTTTTATTTATTTATTTATAATTTTTTAAGTTTATTTATTTATTTTGAGAGAGATAGTGTGAGTGGGGGAGGGGTGGGGGGGGTGTGGAATCCCAAGCAGGCTCTGCACTGTCAGCACAGAGCCTGATGTGGGGCTCGAACTCAGTAAACCCTGATATCATGACCTGAGCTGAAATGGAGAGTTGGACACTTAACTGACTGAGCCACCCAGGAGCCCCTTATGGCAATCTTTTAAAGCAACAAATCACAATGGCACCGTCATTTCCTCTATTCAACAAATATTTATTGAGTGTCTATATGTTAGGCACTAAGCTGGGTGCTGAGGGTATAATGATTAGCAAAATGGGCACACAAAAGCTCTACAGGTTTGTGTGGTTTCTGAGGCTGAAAAGCAAAGAGAAGGTAAGGTCAGCCTGATTTTTCCATTAGAGGCAGCCAGCCCCCCACCCCTACCTCAGTTGTGGAAGGGTTGAAGTCCACAAGTTTCTGTAAAAGTCAACTGTAATCTGTAGGGGGAACTGCTTCCTGGAGTCCTCCTGCCCATAGCGGTAGATTCTCAGGTGAGTCTGTTTAACACATTACCAAACTATTGTGGTTTTCTAAAATCTGATTGCTATTTATAATGGCTCCTAGAAAATGCTTTCTGGGTTTTAAAAGGAGCCATCACCATGAACCAAGAGCTTCCTGGTGCAGCCCAGGCAGTGAACTCTTCGGGTTCTAAGCTGATGACGCCTATCCACACGAGAGCCAGGGTCACAGATGAGAACCAAGAGAAAGAAGTGGGAAAACAACAGGCAATAGGAGTGAGGATTGAGGAATGAGCTCAAATTTTCCCCAATTCTTTTTTTTCTTCTCTTCATTGAGCAGATAAACCCGGGATAAAAAATGGGAGGGTGTCCTGGGTTTAACCAGGTTAGGACTACTGGTAACAATGGGATAGGGTTATGAAAAATAGAATAGTTTCCAGCGATATACAGGGAAAGAAAGAAAATTCACCAATAGTGACAAAAGGGAAGGCCTGTGAAGGTGGCAAAAATGAATCACCAGCCAGAGTGAACATTTATATGCAATATGTGCTGGCAGGGGAGTCATTAAAAAACTAGGCACTGTTGAGGGCAAACTAGAGGCATCCATTCATATTATGAGCAACCAATGACCGTTCCTTGGATATGGCATATACAATATGCACTGAAAGAATATACATAAAGGGAAAAAAAATGAATCCTACACTGTTGGGAGTATTTGCAATGCCGGGCAAATACTTGCAGTGTTACACACCAATACTAGTTATTAATCATTTATTCTTATCTCAGAGAAGGAAGCTTTGCTCCAGAAAGACTAAATGACTTGACCAAAGTCATAGTTCTAATTACTGGTATGGAAGGCAAAGACTCAGGCAATGACCTTTATTATTTTTTTTTTTAAATTTTTTTTTTTCAACGTTTATTTATTTTTGGGACAGAGAGAGACAGAGCATGAACGGGGGAGGGGCAGAGAGAGAGGGAGACACAGAATCTGAAACAGGCTCCAGGCTCTGAGCCATCAGCCCAGAGCCCGACGCGGGGCTCGAACTCACGGACCGCGAGATCGTGACCTGGCTGAAGTCGGACGCTTAACCGACTGCGCCACCCAGGCGCCCCTCAGGCAATGACCTTTAACATATGTGCCTTGGCACGTGTCGAAGCTATAAACGTGATCCCCTGGGAAGCCATGCAAACCAAGACTGAAGTAAGCAGGGAAAGGAAGAGAATATGACCAACTCCATCCCCCCACATCAGAAGGGAATCACCTCATGCACTCTGGAGAGGGAAACCACTGGAAATTACTTATCACACGTTACAAAGCCACAAGGGAAAGCCAACAAACAAAAATCCAATAGTTTTCAGTGATAAACTACCCTAAGGCATATTTATTAGACAGAAATGTCAGTCTTTTTCGGTCAGCCTTGAAAGACAAACTAGCACGTCACTTTAAATTTAATAGCATACAGAAATAACAGGTTTAGATTTTATTTTTATCACAATTATAATTTCAGAATAATCCAAGAAAAGACTACCCAGGTTTGACTAAATGAACACATTTACTCTTCTATCACTGCAGGAAAGGAAAAGGCAAGCTAGAGAAGAGAAAAGCTATAGCTTTTTGTATGAACTCGACTGAGTGGTTATTGTTAGCTACTCAGGAAATCACCGATTCTCTGAGCCTCCTGGAATGGCAATGAGAAAATTATCTTTGTTGCTATAAAAAATGTCTTCAACAATGGAGGGTGATATGAACACATATGAAATATTAATGCAATATTTAAGAAGGAGCTAGGATAATTTTGAAAAGGGAAAACAACAAAGTACTTCATAAACCTTTTACCAGTGAGCTTCAAAATGTACACTGATAACAGAGAACAAACTGAGGGTTGGTGGGGGTGGGGCAAATGGGTGATGGGCATGAAGGAGGGCACTTGCTGGGATGAGCACTGGGTATCATATGTACGTGATGAATCACTGGGCTCTACTCCTGAAGCCAGGACTACACTGTATGTTAACTAACTTGAGAAGAAAAAACAAAACAAAACAAAACCAGATGTATATTGATACAAGCTCTAACTACAACTGGAAACTACAAAAATCTTGTTAGATCCTTAGACCGGGTGCATTTTGCAGGGGCTCTGCTCTCTCCAGCATGCTCAAGTCTCTCTCCTTTGGTCACTTGTCCTCCTTCTCCTCTTCCTGCTGCTCAGATACTCTTACTGTCTTTTCTTCGCCTCTCCAAGTCTGATCTCAGGACAGATTGGGAAACATTCTTACAGAGGTGTAAGGGATTCACAATACCTGAGTTATACTCCCTTGTATTTTTTCAATTAGACTTTGGTTTTTAGAGCAGTTTTAGGCTTACAGAAAAATTGAGTGGAAAGTAGAGTTTCCATATAACACACACCCACTTCCCCCCCTTGTGTCTTAGCAGATATCACACACTAAAACAAACGAATCCTTCAACAGGGGTCTAGAAAATCCAGAGATGGTCTTCATGGAGTCCTTTATCTCCCAGATATTATACACTGAATTTTGGTATATGGCTGTATATATATGTTTTTAGGAAGCAGGTTTCATCAGGTTCTGAAGCAATTGGCATTCAAAAATGGGTAAGGCCTCTAAGCTAAAAAAAAATGACGTTCAAGATGCAGACTAAAGGAAATATTTTGGAGTCAGAAAGGCTTTACCAGTGTCCCTAAAATCATACCACGCAAGGTGGCTGCGGGAGCAAGTATCAGTATGTATATCCAGGCCTCTAACTTCAACAGGGGCTATAGAAATACCTTGGTTAAAGAAATTACAACCAATGCAATGACTTTCAAAACATACGATGACCTCTTTTTTTCTTTTAACATACCTTTAAAGCCTCTATCACAAGGTCCCTTGCTTCAAGCTCTCCTTCAAGAATACTGAATAGTGTTAGGAGTTCAGGCTTACTGAGTTTTTCCAGATTCATCCTGAAAGCCTAAAACAAAGACAATGATCAGACAATCTCCAGAAGACAGAGTTGGTTTGATACGGCTAAGGAAAAAAAATAAAGTGAGTCACACAAGGAAAGAGCCACAATCACAGCATAAAATGCCTTAAGGCAGCAAATGGTTAGAATTAAGTTAAAAAAAAAATGGGAGCTTTCTGATGTTAATCATAAACTGAGCAGTAAGAGAAAATAAAATTCACCTTAAGTATGAATTTCGTCATCACTCACAAGGATCAATTTTCCATCATTTTTCCTCCAGGCATATTTACAAACATCCTGGGAGGTCTCAGAAAGAATTAGTCACTAGTTTTGTTCACCAGAAGTGCAGGTAAAATTGTGCTACAGTGAATACTATTTCACCGAAAAATTGTTAGAGCATGAAAATATTTCTCAGTTTTAAATTTTTTTTTTTTCAACGTTTATTTATTTTTGGGACAGAGAGAGACAGAGCATGAACGGGGGAGGGGCAGAGAGAGAGGAAGACACAGAATCGGAAACAGGCTCCAGGCTCTGAGCCATCAGCCCAGAGCCTGACGCGGGGCTCGAACTCACGGACCGCGAGATCGTGACCTGGCTGAAGTCGGACGCTTAACCGACTGTGCCACCCAGGCGCCCCAATATTTCTCAGTTTTAGATAACCGAATTCCTAAACTGTATATAAAACATTCTGGCATCCCTCTGAAGTTGGTTGAAATGAAATTTAAGCAAAGAGAATGTCCGGTGGCAGTATGGGAGAAATTTTTCTTTTAAACTGTCTGTTTACTTTCACAGGGAACCTCAGTGCAACCATATACAAACACACTTTTACGTAGTCTCATCTTTAACATGTCTCATCTTTTGAGACATGTTAAATGGCAAACCGCATAGCACAAACTCAATCCTTTCCACAAGATTAATTTCTCAAAAGCCACATATAGACAGAAGTTAGATTGCCAGACAATTTTCAAAGGGTCTTCTGACAGGGTGCACAGTGAGATACATTTTTGAACTTCCAAAGCTGAGTAAATACTCCTTTCCTTCTTCTGTATTGTACTTGCAAATTGTCACTTCCATATAGTTTTCTTTAAAGGGAATTGCAACATGACAAGTTCACACACCCTCCCGTAATTCCCAACTCTTATGAGCACATTAAATTTTAGGAGGCACACAAAAGAGTCATTGATTCCTTCCAGACCTACTGCCTCTAAGTGCAGGAAAGCATGTAGGAAAGGCACACTTCACTGTGTTGTCAGATTATGTTCCAGGACATGCTGTACAAATCTTTTGCCACACGGCAAAATATGTTCAATCAAACTTCCGCTCTGCTGACTTTCTAACTACTGAGTTTTAGCAACTAGTGAGTGATCCTCACTTCAGCATTACAGAAGACATCTCACAACAGGTATTTTACAAATAAATAAAAACAAAAACAAAACCCCACACCTAATAAAGCTACACTTAATTTAAGCTATGTCGGAAAGAGGGGCGCCTGGGTGGCTCAGTTGTTTAAGTGTCCGACTTTGGCTCAGGTCATGATCTCATGGTTTGTGTGTTCGAGCCTCACGTCAGGCTCCGTGCTGACAGCTTGCTCAGAGCCCAGAGCCTGCTCTGGATTCTGTCTCCCTTTCTCTCTGCCCCTCCCCGGCTCACACTCTGTCTCGGTCTCTCTCAAAAATAAATAAACATTAAAAAAAAATTAAAAAAAAAGATATGTTGGAAAGAGCATGCAGCTTTGCAGACAGATGGATGTCAGGTCTGCATCTTCAAGTCTGCATCTTCTAGTTGTGGGATTTCTTTTTCTTTTCTTTTTTTTTTTTTTTTACGTTTATTTATTTTTGAGAGATAAGAGAGAGACAGAGCGTAAGTGGGGGAGGAGCAGAGAGAGAAGGAGACAGAGAATCCAAAGCAGGATCCAGGCTGAGTTGTCAGCACAGAGCCCGACGCGGGGCTCGAACTCAAAAATCAGTTGAGTCACACTGGTTTCTTAGATAAAACCCTTCCCCCTCTTCCTGAAGGTTTCATATTTTAATATCTCAGAAATTATAAAGCAGAGGGAAAATCTCATCATTTTAAGCCCATCCTCTTCCCTCCCATGATGTTCAGCAGAATAATGGGCATCTGTGAAGGTACTCTGTAAATACCAACTACACTGAGTAAATCAACTGGATGGAGAAGCACCAAAGTAAAGATGATGGTGTTCAGACATATTCTTTTTTCTTTCAGTATTTTTGTAGTCCTTAAATACTCTTATTTAGAGATCTAAAACTGGGGCTTAAGGAAGCAATGTGATGTGAGTAAAGCATGACAGACGGGGGGGGGGGGTGAGGAGTATAGAATTTTAGTCTGAGCTCTGCTACTAAGCAACTCTGTGGCTTTGAGGACAAAAAGTACCCAGTTAGACTGGCACGCAGTCTCCTCACAGGTAAAATCAGCCTAGATAATCTCTGAAGTCCTTCTTGGTTCCATTTAAGCTTTCATGGGTAAAAATCAAGAATTGTTAGAGAATCCAATGAACTAAGACTAAAGTGAATATACAAAGAACTAAAACCGACTGTACCTAAATCAAAGTCTTGGATCTGCTGTAATAAATACACATCCTCATAAAGGAGTAAAATTGAAACACTCTTTAGAGCCACTTTAATTACAAAGGAGTCCAGCCCTGACAAGAAAAAATTCCATTCTCTGTCAATGGTATAAAGAATAATATTCTTGTTATCTACATTTATAAATCACTTCTGCACACAAATTTCAATATCTGGCACATCCTGCCAATATGTGCCCATTCACCCAGCTTAGTGTCTACATGAAGTGAAGACAATGCGAATCTGACACAGGAGGAAGAAAAGGGCCACAGCTATGTGACTGAAAAGCAATAGGTCTGTTTGTACATGTTCCCATAACCTTTCTTTATCAATATTAAAATTCAACAGTTCTTTGCTGTTCTTTATTATTTGAATCTAATCTCAATATACAAGACATCATGATAAATTTAATATATGAAAGATAGTAAAACCGTACTGTTGCAGGATGACGGTGATATTCCTGGGAGTGGGGACGGAAGTGGGGGTGGGGGGGGGGGGGGGGGGGGGGGGGGGGGGGGGGGGGGTGATACTGACCTGATAATCGGTGGTCACACTTTAGTCCTCAAGTATAAATTCTCAAGGTTTTCTTCAGTTAAAATTTGGGAAAATTGACAAATATACTCAAAATGTCATCAGCATGGTGGAAAAGTGTCCAATGCTGCAAAATAATAAGAAATTTATTGTCTATGTGACCATACTATAAACGATTTGATAAGTCCCATGAATGTCAACTGTCATTGCAGCTGGTAAGGCCTGACAGGTGTAGGTTGACACAGAAAGAAGAAAATAGCCACTTCTTCAAGTTGAGGCTGAGTAATATAGGAAACATACCATGAATCTCACTTCCCTTTTGCAATTATCATTAGGGAAGGTGAGGGCTTTCAAAATCTTTTTTTTAATGTTTATTTATTTTGAGAGAGAGTGCACGCGAGTGGGGGAGATGCAGAGAATGAGGGAGAGAATCCGAAGAGGGCTCTTTGCTGACGCAGGGAGGGGGAACTCAATCTCATGACCTGAGCCCAAATCAAGAGTCAGACACTTAACCAACTGAGCCACCTAGGCACCCTCAAAATCTTTTTTACTTTAAAATGTCCACTGCTAGGGGCGCCTGGGTGGCGCAGTCGGTTAAGCGTCCGACTTCAGCCAGGTCACGATCTCGCGGTCCGTGAGTTCGAGCCCCGCGTCGGGCTCTGGGCTGATGGCTCAGAGCCTGGAGCCTGTTTCTGATTCTGTGTCTCCCTCTCTCTCTGCCCCTCCCCCGTTCATGCTCTGTCTCTCTCTGTCCCAAAAAAATAAATAAACGTTAAAAAAAAAAAAAAATTAAAAAAAAAAAAAAATGTCCACTGCTGTTTCAAGGACTAACTTATGAATGTCCTAGAAGAGAAAAGACAGTCTCCCTGAATTGACAAAAGCCTATTTGCTTAAATCGCCATGATTTATACACAATATGCTCAGAGAAAAATAACATAATTACAACCGAACTTTTCAAACTGCTAAATTTGTGTAAGGTTCACGCTTATCCCCTCACCTCCTGCTAATCAGTGAACAAACAAATCAACCTGTCACCACCTGGACTTTGTCTGTAAGGCTAATGACTCATCCCAGCTCCTACTTTTCGTTTCTTTTTTCAAACATTAGGTGTTGAATTATATGCAAACTTTTGGTGTATGTTTTCCTAATAGTATATCAGACCCAGCAAGCTTTTAAAAAAAAAATGATAGGCTTTAAATTTTATTTGATAAACCATAATTTTGTCTTGAACTTTACGGCACTCAGTCTTAAATGAAACTCCAGTTTCTGCCTAATATATAAATTACGTGGCCCAAGACTTTCAGAAAAAGGCTGCTGCTAGCTACAAACTAATCATCAGAAATATGATTGCCAGATTTTTGGCATGCCATATTGTAGTCTACAGACATGCTCTCTACTTGTTTTCTAAATGAGCTGTTACTTGTCACTGTCATCATTCATTAAGTGACTTTGAAAGACAAGATCATTTCAACCAGATGCTCAGCTCATTCCTTCCATTTGAATCTCTCCAAGATGCAACTTTCCTTAGAGTTTAGTGGCAGATATGCTTGTCTAAGGAACACTGCAGTCTATAAACTTGAAATAAAAACCAATGGTGGACAAGTTGCCTGGATACATTATCATATGCTGTGGTACAGCATACTAGCTGTAGCTATTATATTAAACTTTATAGTTTTCTCAGTTAAAAAATAAATACAGGGGCAACTGGCTGGCTCAGTTGATACAGCATGTGACTCTTGATCTCAAGGTTGTGGGTTCAAGCCCCACGTTGGGTGTGGGGCCTACTTAAAATAATAATAAAATAAAATAAATTTAAAAATATAAATATATATATAAGAAAAAAAGATAAATGATACATATTTTAAGACCCTGGAAAAATAAGCCTAT